TAGACACGACTAGGCACTACTAGACACGACTAGACACTTCCATACACTGCTCGACACTACCAGACACGACTAGACACTACTAGACACGACTAGACACTACCATACACGACTAGACACTACCAGACAATAGACACTACTAGACACGACTGGACACGACTAGACACTACTATACACGACAAGACACTACTAGACACTAGATACTACTAGACACGACTAGGCACTACTAGACACGACTAGACACTACCATACACTGCTCGACACTACCAGACACGACTAGACACTACCATACACTGCTCGACACTACCAGACACGACTAGACACTACTGGATACGACTAGACACTACCAGACACTAGACATCAGTAGACACGACTAGACACTGTTAGACACGACTAAACACTACTAGACACTACCATACACTGCTAGACTCTACCGGACACTAGACACTACTGGACACGACTAGACACTACCAGACACGACTAGACACTACTGGACACGACTAGACACTACCAGACACGACTAGACATCAGTAGACACGACTAGACACTGCTAGACACGACTAAACACGACTAGACACTACCAGACACAACTAGACACGACTAGACACTACTAGGCAGTAGACAACTCTAGACAACTACTCAACAGATCGGACTGGTCAGATTTCTTAAGTTGTTAACGTAAGATCCAACTTTTGTCTTACCAACTGTACGCATGGGCACAAGGATCTCGAACTGGTATATAGTATGAGTGAGAAAGTTTTACGCCGCACTCAGTAAAGTTCTAGCTATATGGCGGCGGTCTGTAAATAATCAAGTCTGAACTAGACAATCCAATGATCAACAGCATGAACATCGATCTACGCAATCGATGACATGTGTCAACCAGGTCAGCGAGCTTGACAACCCCACCCCGTTAGTCGCTTCTTACGACAAGCAAAGGTTACTGAAGACCAATTCTACCCCGGGTCTTCACTGGGTGGAACTGGTATACAGCTTAACTTTTGGATGTGTCACATATATATGCCACATCTACGCCATCTGCAACTACTGCCACGGTGTCCCTACGACACCACACTTGACTAATCCTAACTCTGACCATTGGGATTAGTGTGTCAATTTAGAACAAATTCTAGTTTCGGTTGAGATTAGAACCCAGACTCACAGACCGGAGCACCAGGTGTCCAGCCCCCGAAGCTTCCAACACCTGATCGTCTCGAACACCTACTTAGTACACCCCTCTGACAAAAATACATGACGCGGACCCCTAGGCTTGCAGGAACGCATTGTGTAACTCGCTCAATTCAATATTGGTACTGCTGCTACTACTACAGCTGCTGCTACCACCACTACTACATCTGTAGACGTTGCTACTAGGTAATGACTACAACAACGTGAGTGAGTGAGTTTAGTTTTACATCGGTTTGAGCAATATTCCAGCAATATCACAACTGGGGACACCAGAAATGGGCTTCACATATTGTGCCCATATGGGAAATCAAACCCGGGTCTTCGGCGTGACGAGTGAACGTTTCAACCACTAGGCTACCCCACCGCCCCCACACTACAACTACAACCACTACATTTAGATGTACTTCTTGATTCCCACGTTGACGCCAACATTTAACAGGGAAACAGTCTATAAATGAACTTGATGTGAAAACCAGCAAACAACAAAACAGTGAGTCATAATTGACAATTGTATTCTAAAATTAACTAAGTATGCAAATTAATACCAATCACTAAACAAGGTATTACAGTGTCAGTACAATTACAAAGGCAGTATGATACAAAGGCAGTATGATACAAAGGCAGTATGATACAAAACCAGTGATTACAGCAATACAGAAAGAGGTGGTGATATTCAAGAAGATAGGCCAAGGCTGAGTATCCAAGATACGAACTGCGATGATCTCCACACAACGCATATCATCTTACAGGTTACACAACACCAAATGGTTTCCAATAGACTTCTTTAGTAACCTTTTATTTTTTAAAAATTATCCAGGCTTTCAACTGCCATTCCAGGTACACATGGGTACAGTCAGGCCTTTAAACTACAATAAAACACAATTTCTGGCCAAATTGTCCGGCTCATTTTCCCAGCAGAGGAAGCTGAACACATCAACCCCAGTTCCGCACCAAATGTCACCTGCTGGAAAATATCTGTACACACAATAAGCATAAGTCATGGTGATAAAAATGACAGCACTAAATACTTAAAATTGTGGTCAGTTTTAATTACTGGATGGGTGTGCTTTTAAAAAGCATAAACATCTGACACTATTTAATCCAATCACAGCTGTCACATGTCTCTATCTCTTCAGTCGCTCAGGAAGCATGTGATTCTGATTGTAGTGGAACCTATAACTTGAGATGTAATGTGACTTGAGATGCAAGAGTTAGCTCCCTTTAAATATAAGGCAACGCTCTCCGAGTGTTTGCCAAGTATCTGGTTGGGCACACCTACTTGATCCACCTACTTGGGTTGTCAGTCCAGATTGGAAGAGATCGTTATGCAAGTATATTGTATATCCATATACTGATACAGTGAAGACACTCCGTCAGGGGCGTAGCTACCGTTACAGAATAAAGTCCGGGCTTACACAAGATTGTTGCTAAAAGGTTGGCCAAGCCCTCAATACTATCATATAAAGCTTTGCAACCTGTCGGCTAACACGAAAACATTGACTTGCTCCGCGCCTGTCGTGTTTTACCACTTGTTGATGAGAAACGGTCAAGCATGTCAACTTGTTTGCACGTATATTTTTCACAAGATATATATTGTTTCAAATCATCATCATTAAAGGATTTTTTAACAATTTTTTTTTTAAAGAAATAGAATTGGATAATAAATATTTGTGTCCTGTACAAATTTAACTAATTTCAAAAATCGATAGAATATATTTGATAACTGCGATTGTTGGCATCTATAACCAGGAAGAAGGTTGGTTGACGTAAACTTATGTCCTCCGGAAAAATATCTCAGAACACCTTTTTCAAAGTTTTTATTTCTGCCATCATTTTAATCGTAGAATACATGTTCTTATATTTGGTTAAATTTCTCAATAATCGCAAACACCGGAATCTATAGCCTCGTCCAGTCTGAACCGCACACGTCACGTCAGAACCAAACACGTCTGGTCTGAACCACGCACGAACAGTCTGTACCACACATGTCCAGTCTGTACCAAACACGGTCAGGCTGTTTCCATGGAAAACGTTTACATATTGAATAGTTGGCTTGCTTTGGTTTGCATTGACAGGCTAACTCAGGTCTGAGATGTCACGACCTTTCAGGTGTCCAGGGTAGCTCCCAACCCACGTATACGTAGGAGTCACACACTACACATGACTGGTTGATAAGGGGAGCGTCATTTGTCTAAGTAGACCTATCTTCTAAAGGCCGATCTGTATTCTATGACCCTTCCTGTTTTCTGATAATGTATAACAGGACACAACGAGTAAGCTAATTACCACTGTATTTATTTGGACAGGTCGTAATCAGTTTTTCTAAAGTAGTGAGGGAGTATGGTTTTACGCCGCTTTTAGCAATATTCCAGCAATATCACGGCGGGGAACACCTGAAATGGGCTTCACAAATTGTACCCATGTGGGGAATCGAACCAGGGTTTTCGGTGTTACGAGCCAATGCTTTAACCACTGGGCTACCACACCGCCCCTTTCTGAAAAGTAGTGAAATGATTCGTTAGTGATAAAGAATCCCCAACAGAAAGACAATAAGCTGTAATAATGACCGGAAGTCGGCACACTGACCTTGAACTGGATGACCTTTCATTTGGTGGTGACCAGGAGCCTGACCACACCAACATCTTAACCTGTTTTAACCGCTTTTTATACAGACACAAGTGAAGATGCTGTTTTCATGCTATCCTTTAAAGGTGGCATGAAATGTAGCACCTGTATTAAGATGATATTAAATATCTTATCGGGTTACACGAAAGGCTATAGCGCGGTAAGGGACCGTTCATAATTTATGGCTAGGGGGTGGGGGGATGAAGATGATTTGACCCCCCTAAAATCTAAGTACAAAGTAAGTGACACCCCTGCATGTCATAATTTCTAAGCATATTATTAAAATAATTCTATGTACAAAATTGCTGACCCCCATCCCCCCATCATCATCACACACACAAACACACACGCACGCACGCACGCACACACGAAAAACAAACACACACACCAACACACACGCACGCACGCACACACGAAAAACAAACACAAACACACACGCACGCACGCACACACGAAAAACAAACACAAACACACAACACACAAAAACACACACTAACACACACACACTAACACACACACACACTAACACACACTAACACACACACACTACCCATAAATTATGAATGGTCCCTAAACTGGCGACTTATTCATGTCAAGGAAGTACATGTTTTGTCGTACATAATGCTGCCACATGTATTTATCAAGATATTAAGTCTAAACAAAAACCTAAAATACAAAATGACGATGTATTAAATAAAAGGTATAGTACGAGACAACACCAACTGAAGAAACTGCCTGGCGGCAAACTTTTCATCTTCATTTGGCTGTTTCCACGTGATATAAATACAATTCTGTGATCGTCCATCCAAACTCATTGTAATCAGAAAATTCAAAGCATCTGCCAACAGTTAGTCCCAATTAGTTAGTATTTTTACGCCGCTTTTAGCATATTCCAGCAATATCACTTCGGGGAACACCAGAACTGGGCTTCATACATTGTACCCATGTGGGAATCGAACCCGGGGTCTTCGGCGTGGCGAGCCAACGCTTTAACCACTGGGCTACCACACCGCCCCTAGCCCCAATGATCTTCCAAAACAAATTTTTCTGCGTGTGAAAGACAAAATAATATAAAACGTACATGAACGGTTCACTGTAAATCAGTGAACACCAGGTGGTCGCCTAACGAGCAAGCATGTCCTGTTAACAGGTGGACAGTCTCAACAGCGCCACCATGCGGGGACTATGTGTCCTACTGTGAGTCTATATATACACTGTCGTGGAGGCGTATATACACACATATATACAGAGTCAATGTACAAACGCCGGGTCGCCTTGTCTGTATGCCTCTCCAGCCTCATTCTGACAGAGATATCTTCCTGCCGGAAGCGGCTGACGTAGCAGCGACATCTATAGTGGTGTACTGTGTAGGTGGCGCTGCTCTTCTTACATCAGCATCCGGGTTCTGCTGCTGCACCTCCACTTCGATGTAGTTGAGAGTCTTTGTCTAAAACAAACAACAGACAAACATAACGCAGGTGGACTGAACCTGACAACAAGCAGACTGAACCTGACAACAAGCAGACTGAACCTGACAACAAGCAGACTGAACCTGACAAGCAGACTGAACCTGACAACAAGCAGATAGAAACTGACAACAGACGGACTGAACCTGACAACAAGCAGATAGAAACTGACAACAGACGGACTGAACCTGACAACAAGAAGATAGAAACTGACAACAGACGGACTGAACCTGACAACAAGAAGATAGAAACTGACAACAGACGGACTGAACCTGACAACAAGAAGATAGAAACTGACAACAGACGGACTGAACCTGACAACAAGCAGATAGAAACTGACAACAGACGGACTGAACCTGACAACAAACAGACTGGAAGTGACAACAAACAGACTGAAAGTGACAACAAACAGACTGGAAGTGACAACAAACAAACTGAAAGTGACAACAAACAGACTGAAAGTGACAACAAACAGACTGAAAGGGACAACAAACAAACTGAAAGTGACAACAAACAGACTGGAAGTGACAACAAACAGACTGAAAGTGACAACAAACAGACTGGAAGTGACAACAAACAGAGTGAAAGTGACAACAAACAGGCTGAAAGTGACAACAAACAGAGTGAAAGTGACAACAAACAAACTGAAAGTGACAACAAACAGAGTGAAAGTGACAACAAACAAACTGAAAGTGACAACAAACAAACTGAAAGTGACAACAAACAAACTGAAAGTGACAACAAACAGGCTGAAAGTGACAACAAACAGAGTGAAAGTGACAACAAACAGTGAAAGTGACAACAAACAAACTGAAAGTGACAACAAACAGAGTGAAAGTGACAACAAACAAACTGAAAGTGACAACAAACAGACTGAAAGTGACAACAAACAGACTGGAAGTGACAACAAACAGAGTGAAAGTGACAACAAACAGAGTGAAAGTGACAACAAACAAACTGAAAGTGGCAAGAAACAAACTGAAAGTGACAAGAAACAAACTGAAAGTGACAACAAACAGGCTGAAAGTGACAACAAACAGAGTGAAAGTGACAACAAACAGAGTGAAAGCGACAACAAACAGAGTGAAAGTGACAACAAACAGACTGAAAGTGACAACAAACAGAGTGAAAGTGACAACAAACAGACTGAAAGTTACAACAAACAGACTGAAAGTGACAACAAACAGACTGAAAGGGACAACAAACAAACTGAAAGTGACAACAAACAGACTGAAAGTTACAACAAACAGAGTGAAAGTGACAACAAACAGACTGAAAGGGACAACAAACAGAGTGAAAGTGACAACAAACAGACTGAAAGTGACAACAAACAAACTGAAAGTGACAACAAACAAACTGAAAGTGACAACAAACAGAGTGAAAGTGACAACAAACAGAATGAAAGTGACAACAAACAGACTGAAAGTGACAACAAACAGAGTGAAAGTGACAACAAACAGACTGAAAGGGACAACAAACAGGCTGAAAGTGACAACAAACAGAGTGAAAGTGACAACAAACAGAGTGAAAGCGACAACAAACAAACTGAAAGTGACAACAAACAAACTGAAAGTGACAACAAACAGAGTGAAAGTGACAACAAACAGAATGAAAGTGACAACAAACAGAGTGAAAGTGACAACAAACAGAGGACAACAAACAAACTGAAAGTGACAACAAACAAACTGAAAGTGACAACAAACAGGCTGAAAGTGACAACAAACAGAGTGAAAGTGACAACAAACAGAGTGAAAGTGACAACAAACAGAGTGAAAGTGACAACAAACAGACAGAAAGTGACAACAAACAAACTGAAAGTGACAACAAACAGACTGAAAGTGACAACAAACAGACTGAAAATGACAACAAACAGACTGGAAGTGACAACAAACAGAGTGAAAGTGACAACAAACAGAGTGAAAGTGACAACAAACAAACTGAAAGCGGCAACAAACAAACTGAAAGTGACAACAAACAAACTGAAAGTGACAACAAACAGGCTGAAAGTGACAACAAACAGAGTGAGGGTGACAACAAACAGAGTGAAAGCGACAACAAACAGACTGAAAGTGACAACAAACAGACTGAAAGTGACAACAAACAGACTGGAAGTGACAACAAACAGAGTGAAAGTGACAACAAACAGAGTGAAAGTGACAACAAACAAACTGAAAGTGGCAAGAAACAAACTGAAAGTGACAACAAACAAACTGAAAGTGACAACAAACAGGCTGAAAGTGACAACAAACAGAGTGAAAGTGACAACAAACAGAGTGAAAGCGACAACAAACAGAGTGAAAGTGACAACAAAGAGACTGAAAGTGACAACAAACAGAGTGAAAGTGACAACAAACAGACTGAAAGTTACAACAAACAGACTGAAAGTGACAACAAACAGACTGAAAGGGACAACAAACAAACTGAAAGTGACAACAAACAGACTGAAAGTTACAACAAACAGAGTGAAAGTGACAACAAACAGACTGAAAGGGACAACAAACAGAGTGAAAGTGACAACAAACAGACTGAAAGTGACAACAAACAAACTGAAAGTGACAACAAACAAACTGAAAGTGACAACAAACAGAGTGAAAGTGACAACAAACAGAATGAAAGTGACAACAAACAGACTGAAAGTGACAACAAACAGAAAGTGACAACAAACAGACTGAAAGTGACAACAAACAGACTGAAAGTGACAACAAACAGACTGTTACAACAAACAGACTGAAAGTGAAAACAAACAGACTGAAAGTGACAACAAACAGACTGAAAGTGACAACAAACAGACTGAAAGTTACAACAAACAAGAGTGAAAGTGACAACAAACAGACTGAAAGGGACAACAAACAGACTGAAAGTGACAACAAACAGACTGAAAGTGACAACAAACAAACTGAAAGTGACAAACAGGCTGAAAGTGACAACAAACAGACTGAAAGTGACAACAAACAGACTGAAAGTGACAACAAACAGACTGAAAGTGACAACAAACAGACAGAAAGTGACAACAAACAGACTGAAAGTGACAACAAACAGACTGAAAGTGACAACAAACAGACTGAAAGTGACAACAAACAGACTGAAAGTGACAACAAACAAACTGAAAGTCACAACACACAATGATAATGTTTGGGATCACATACAAGTGACATGTACAGTATGGAAAGTGACAACAATCAAACTACAAAGTGACAACTGAGTGGGAAAGTGACAACAAACAAACTGAAAGTGACAAGACAAACAGGCTAAAAGTGACAATGGATACAGAGGGATCACATACACGTGTATGTATGGAAGACGGTGTTCACTACACAATGATAATGTTTGGGATCACATACACATGTATGTATGGAAGATGGTGTTCACGACACAATGATAATGTTTGGGATCACATACACATGTATGTATGGAAGACGGTGTTCACTACGCAATGATAATGTTTGGGATCACATACACGTGTATGTATGGAAGATGGTGTTCACTACACAATGATAATGTTTGGGATCACATACACATGTATGTATGGAAGATGGTGTTCACGACACAATGATAATGTTTGGGATCACATACACATGTATGTATGGAAGACGGTGTTCACAACACAAACATCCCCAGCTGGTTGTATTCATGTGTGTAAGTTGTAATACGATGTGAGTTGTTGTCAAAACTTGATGATTTAGGAGATAAACCTAGTGTGTTTGAAAATCAGAGACATGCTTTACTGAATTGATGGCGACTAAATTTCAATTGGAGCCGAACGCGTAGCGTGAGGTTTCAATTGAAATATTTCGTCGCGTAGCGTGAGGTTTCAATTGAAATATTTAGTCGCCATCAATTCAGTAAAGCATGTCTCTGATTTTCAAACACACTAGGGTTATCTCCATTCTACCATGAACCATTTAAAATCGAACTTTCTCGCTCTGCGAAGAAGACACTGCGTAATCCGGCATGGGACGAGAGGCGAATTGAACTCGTCTGTGAAGGGAGCGGTAGGTGCCGTTCGTATTTTTTAACATTACAACATAACAATATTCTGTCCAAAGAAATCAAACTACTGTTTATTCAATGCAATTATGTAATACCCGAGATCTTGGGGTTTTTTTCATCCCAACTCCACACGACTAAAACCAGCCTATTGTTTAGTGTGCCGTGAAACTGTACCCCCCTGGCCACACTATAATGGAATCGTCTGACCTACTTATTTTCTTCGAAGTAGACAGTTACGCAACAGTTTGAAATGGCGGACGAGCCAGTGTTTACATTTTGCGAAAGGTTGAAATTTGAAGTGACAGTGGGCAATACTTGACTGACTGTCGAATCTGAACCCTGCAGAATCGAAGAATAGATCCTTACCTGATCAACCTACGACCCGTAACTCATCAAAGACTGTTGATTTTTATGACCGTCCGATCATGATTTCACGTACTGCCTCCACCCCGGCATGCGACAAAAGAGTGACAGTGCTACTGCTTAGTGTACATGCGACTAACTTGTGATTCCTTGGAACTTTGTTTTCATCGTTTGGGACTGGACTGTGTCCAAGCGTTTTTCAAAGTAGATGAACATAACAGTGACAACCTTGGGGGAAGCTGGCAGAGAGCAGAATTATTTTGTGAACGATGCAACGGGATATGATGGAGTATGACTATGAGTGGCATAAATGTGGTGTTTCGCCAGACCGTTAGATCTATCTAGCAAAATTCCCATTCTAAACGGAATTAAATATACCATTTACCAGGTAGGTAAATGTTTACTAATGTTTTGCTGCATATTTTGTATAGATATGGATGTATTTTTACAAGGCTTTCTGATTTATATGTTAGATATTGTTTTGTTTATGTTTTGGGCTGTGTATTGTAATTGAGTTTGAATATTTTAATAATAGAAGGTAATATGATAGTGAGGTTCCCTCATAATTGTGTGGGGAAATCATATAATTGTATTTTTCGAGTTTAAATATAAAATGTTTTATCAGCATTTCGTTCACGTCTGTTGTGTTGATATTAGTCATGTTGGTGGTCAAGCTGAAGTAGTGCGGCAGTGTTCTATACGTGCGCAGTGAAGCGCAATGAAATCAAACGCATTTTTAATCCAAAAATTTTCAATTGCCTAGGTGGAATATTCGAAAGTCAGCGTCAAAATCCATGGAGTTGTTGTTATGATCCGCCATCATTGTGGTCAAACGGAAGTAGTTCTCCCAATAAGATTTGTTAATGCGCGGTGAAGCGGCCTTACAATCAGATGAGCGTCAATCCACAATTGATGCTGTCTGATTTTTCTGAACAACCAATCAGAATCTAGTATTTTCTTGATTCATGGTAGAATGGGAGTTAATTGGATCAAACCTTGTTTTGGGAAAAGAATTCAGTGACCGGATTGGTTACGTTCGTGTAGGACGACGACAAATGTCACAAATATTTCAATTGTGAATGTGCGGTTCACATTTTTAGAAGACAAGTTTACATTAATCTGAACTTAATTGTGACTGCCAGTTATCATACTGGAAATAAAGTAACTGCAAACTGCATGATGGTGTTAGTACCGGTGGTGCTGACCAAACTATCTGCCTACCTTGTGTACCGCCTACCTCTGGCTTTGTGGAGCTCTCAACCACCATTGTTGGACCGGAAGCATCGTCATCGATCTCGATCTCGTCATACTCTCGCGGCCGTCTCTTGGGCGCTGATTGGTTCGGCTTGATATCCGCCTCGTTCACCTCGTCATACGGGTGTTTTCGCGGTTGCTTAGCTGCAACAGGCAAAGTCGTAACAATGTCAGTAAACCTACTGTGACGTGGTTACATTCACTAATTCCTAATGTGAAGAGCAACCTCCTCGAGATGCGTGCTTCCCCAGTCTAGTCCCGGGGTAGAATGTATCCACAGTACCCCACAGCTGGTGGGAAGCATGGTACATTGTTTGTTGTGTGTGCTCGCTGTGCTGAGGACACACATACAACAAAAGATTGTGCTGAGACACTGCGCAGATCACTCCCCTTTCTGTACAACAGTGTCCGATTTGGAGACAGCAGATGGAGATTAACAACACCAAACTCAACCAGAGTTTTACAGATGCCACAAAACTTGTCCCCGAATATAATCTTATAAAAACTGTGTTGCAGTGGAGTGAAACCAAACATTCTACAAGTTTAACCCACCTTTTATTTTCCCACAGTTGTCGACTTATATACACACTAACGAATGCAAGACACTGCACGAAAACTGCAATATCTTACTAAGGTCCGATTATGACCGAATCATCTAAGAAACGTCTAAATATCTAACATCTAACACACAGATGTTTATTCGACTCTAACCAGCTGACTAAGCACCCAACACCAACAGGTAGTGTCCCATTTTTGACAGCCTCTTGGTCACTGATCCGTTAAGGTGTGAAGTTTCGCTGTCAAAACTGGGACTAACAGAATGACAACTGTCAAAACTTTGAAGTTTTTGAAAGGCATTTAGAAGTTCTACGAACATGAATACATGACACATTTTATAGATAACAATTTCTTCTTTATTCTTTACACGACGTTTCAGAGCTAATTCTTGCTCCTTCATCACGTAAATATGTTGAGTCAGTACAAAAGGTGAATATATAACATGTTTTAATCTTCCATAGAGAGAACATCGTCTGAGACAACCCCTAAAGAAGCCAAACCATCTGCAAAATGTCAAACGAACTTGGCTCAAAACCGATTCTGTTTAGATTTTGCCATCTGCAATGTCTACTCAAACTGTGGAATCACTTCCTGGCACGTCCCGAACCAATCAGAGTCATCTTGTGGTCATGTCCTCCACAAATAAACAAAAGTAAACTTAAGCCATATTCCTTGAAAAAACCAAGTGGCACAGCCCCCAAAGGGTCAGAAAACAGAATGAAACTATTTAACATTCATGAATCCCTTGAGGAAAACGGCCATTTCAGGGGCCATAGCTTGTCACCCACCAGGGACGTGCGGGATGCATCCCCGATTAATACCCCTCCAAAAGATAGGTTATCCCAATGACATCATACAGTGGAACTGCAGAGGACTAAGGACTAATTTCAATGAATTAAAGTTATTAGTCCAAGATTTTACCTCCACGACATTCTCTCTACTGGAAACATCTAAAACACACAGATACCTTTAACCTACGTCTTTTCAAAGTATGTGATTATTTTTCACTTCCGGGCGATAGGTCCACTGGATCTGTTCAATCCTTGATAAACAGAAATGTTATCCATATATCTGTCACACTTAGCAGTAATCTCCAGGCTGTTGCAGTGTGACTCACTTTACACGTTACCTTTACACTATGTTCTGTTTGTTGAACCTCCTTCAACCCTTCAGCTGGCTGATCTGCAAGCTCTTTATGATCAACTGCCAAAACACTGCAGTTTCAATGGCCACAACCCACTTTCAAAGGTAAAATACTGGATCTGTTCAGATAATGAGTTATTTGTTGATAATGGAAGCACTTATTTCCATCCTGGCTTTGGATTCAGGATATTTCTCATTTGGTAATAGAAAACTCAATGTAATTTATACCCAGCTAAGATATTCAAATAGTAGATTAAATGGTGATCTATATAGGATCGGTCTCATAGAGAACCCCGAATGTAATTGTAAATTTACCTGTGAAAATTCTCAACATTATTTTATGGAATGTTCTTTGTATTCTGTTATCAGACAGGAAATGTTTCAAAATATTAGCAGAATTTGTGACATTAAATCACCAACAAACCTAGACGTACTATTAAATGGCAGTGCAGATCCTCCGTATAGTGACAATGTTCACATTTTAAAGAAGTTCAAAAATATATATCAAATTCCAAATGGTTCAGTAATTGGATATAATGTGTATGATCTAAATAATTCATGTATTCATTGTATTGTATATATCATTTTGTATATATCTTTCTATCCCTGTACATATAGTTTGTTTCACTTTTGCATGTAAGCACTGTGAATAGGAGAGGGTTTCACTAAGTTGGCATAACTTGTACGCAATCCATTCTCTTGAATAAATATGTTTAAATGAATTATCTGCAAGCTCTTTATGATCAACTGCCAAAACTCTGCAGTTTCAATGGCCACAACCCACTTTCAAAGGTAAAATACTGGATCTGTTCAGATAAAGAGTTATTTGTTGATAATGGAAGCACTTATTTCCATATACTGGATCTGTTCAGATAAAGAGTTATTTGTTGATAATGGAAGCACTTATTTCCATATACTGGATCTGTTCAGATAAAGAGTTATTTGTTGATAATGGAAGCACTTATTTCCATATACTGGATCTGTTCAGATAAAGAGTTATTTGTTGATAATGGAAGCACTTATTTCCATATACTGGATCTGTTCAGATAAAGAGTTATTTGTTGATACTGGAAGCACTTATTTCCATATACTGGATCTGTTCAGATAAAGAGTTATTTGTTGATAATGGAAGCACTTATTTCCATATACTGGATCTGTTCAGATAAAGAGTTATTTGTTGATACTGGAAGCACTTATTTCCATATACTGGATCTGTTCAGATAAAGAGTTATTTGTTGATAATGGAAGCACTTATTTCCATATACTGGATCTGTTCAGATAAAGAGTTATTTGTTGATACTGGAAGCACTTATTTCCATATACTGGATCTGTTCAGATAAAGAGTTATTTGTTGATAATGGAAGCACTTATTTCCATATACTGGATCTGTTCAGATAAAGAGTTATTTGTTGATAATGGAAGCACTTATTTCCATATACTGGATCTGTTCAGATAGAGTTATTTGTTGATAATGGAAGCACTTATTTCCATATACTGGATCTGTTCAGATAAAGAGTTATTTGTTGATAATGGAAGCACTTATTTCCATATACTGGATCTGTTCAGATAAAGAGTTATTTGTTGATAATGGAAGGACTTATTTCCATATACTGGATCTGTTCAGATAGAGTTATTTGTTGATAATGGAAGCACTTATTTCCATATACTGGATCTGTTCAGATAAAGAGTTATTTGTTGATAATGGAAGCACTTATTTCCATATACTGGATCTGTTCAGATAGAGTTATTTGTTGATAATGGAAGCACTTATTTCCCTATACTGGATCTGTTCAGATAGAGTTATTTGTTGATAATGGAAGCACTTATTTCCATATACTGGATCTGTTCAGATAAAGAGTTATTTGTTGATAATGGAAGCACTTATTTCCATATACTGGATCTGTTCAGATAAAGAGTTATTTGTTGTTCAGATAAAGAGTTATTTGTTGATAATGGAAGCACTTATTTCCATATACTGGATCTGTTCAATGGAAGTTGTTGATAATGGAAGCACTTATTTCCATATACTGGATCTGTTCAGATAAAGAGTTATTTGTTGATACTGGAAGCACTTATTTCCATATACTGGATCTGTTCAGATAAAGAGTTATTTGTTGATACTGGAAGCACTTATTTCCATATACTGGATCTGTTCAGATAAAGAGTTATTTGTTGATACTGGAAGCACTTATTTCCATCCTGGCTTTGGATTCACCAGTCACCCTCTCAACCACCTGGACGGATCTGAATGGTCAGTCAGCTACGACCTCTGTGGACGTGACCATGTTCCTACAATACTGAAACCTGTGCACTCATCCGATGTTCAGCCACCCTCAAGATTGACTAAAGGGCTAACTGTCCTGTATATAAAACCCTGTGATGTAACAGACTTGACCTGAACGTTTTAAGGACGTTCCTGTTCTTATATAATGTTTCTCCGACGAACTAAATAACATAGGTCGTCTAAAGTTCCATGCATACAGAAACAATGCGACAACATTGACTGCAATAGAGCAACGCTAAACCGTACGTTTAAACAAAGCAAACGTCAGTCTTGGTGAAATTATGTATCCAGAATCATTTCCCGAACGCCGATGTCAAAGGTATGGAAGATATTCCAGAAAAACAAAGGTAAAGTTTTAAATCTAAGCCATCTTACAGCTTGTTCAGCTTGACCTGAGCTATTCTACATATGAGTGACCCGGGAGGTCAAATGGCACAAACGGCAGGTCGAGTTAACTTCATTCAATAGGGGAGCAGAGAATGTTATTATGGAGACCAGATATTAACCCATAAATCCGATACTGTAATATTATACTTGGTGAGATTTTGTTCGTTATCTAATTTGTACCTCAAAATCAAACATACTAAAAATCAACAAGAAAAGAAACAATTAATTTCAGTTCATTCAATATACATTATCAGCTCCTGACGAACTAACGAGAATCATCATTAAATATTTTGATGACAGTTTGAGAATTCCTTCTTCATGGCATGATACTATAACTATACCTATACCTAAACTTTAACGTGATCACACCGATCATTCACATTATACAGTCTACTTACTGACATACAATGTGTAAATCAACAGTCTACTGACTGATATACAATGTGTAAATCAACAGTCTACTTACTGATATACAATGTGTTAATCAACAGTCTACTTACTGATATACAATGTGTAAATCACATTCTACTTACTGACATACAATGTGTAAATCAACAGTCTACTGACTGATATACAATGTGTAAATCAACAATCTACTTACTGATATACAATGTGTAAATCAACAGTCTACTGACTGATATACAATGTGTAAATCAACAGTCTACTGACTGATATACAATGTGTAAATCAACAGTCTACTTACTGATATACAATGTGTAAATCAACAGTCTACTGACTGATATACAATGTGTAAATCAACAGTCTACCTACT